GTTTTTATGTCTTTTGGGTAGATACCTAGGAGTGGGATTGCTGGGTCATAGGGAAGCTCCATATTTAGCAGTTTGAGGAACCTCCAAACAGTTTTCCACAGTGGTAATTTATAGTCTCTTAACAGTCAGATAATATAGTTGCTATTTCCCTTTTGTTATGCCTACACTTTAATAAAGCCAAGTTTGAATGTACCTTCCAGATCTGTGTAAGCTGAACCATGGGAGAATATAAGCAAAGGTCTTGTGTCCACATTGGGACTAATTTGTTAGCGATGTTGCCAGTGTTAAGATGAGTAACTTGTATAAAATTCTGAAGGTAAAGTGAATCAAGGGTCAAGAGTTGGGAATCTAACACCTCGAGGGATCAACATTTGACCAAGGATGCAAAACATAAAGCGGTCAACAGCCTAGAAGCCTGGCAGTCTCCTTTGACAGGTGACAGGGAGAACTTTAGAAGGAAAACAGGGCCATGACATGGCATGAATTCCAACCCGTCTCTTAAGTAATTGTGTCAAAAGATTAGAGATCACAAGAGCATGAGTAGACTCATGAATCACCCTAGCTTCACCTATTTATGCTGATGTTCTCTCTGCCTGGAATATGCTTTTCACATTCTTTTGCTTGCTAGGTCTCATCCTTCAGGACTCCACTCAGTCATCATCTCCTCTAGCAAGCATCATCTCCTTTATAATCTCCATGTTCAGCTACAGCCTCCCTCCTTCCTTGTTTCTGTTGCTTATGATCTCCTCATATCTGTCTGCAGAGACAAATTCTTATCCTTCCAGGTTCAGTTAAATTGTCAGTCTATTATCTATGAACCTCAAGCTTGTTTGGCTAACAGTATTATCTTTCCTCTAAATTCTTATAGAAGTGTAGCAGGAGCATAGTGGAAAAAAGTATAGGATTAAAATCCTGGCTTTGGACTAACTGTGAGACCATGGGTAAGTGATTAACTCTGTAAGACTCAGTTCTTCAGTTTCCTGTGGGTCAATTAGCTCTCCAACTTGATTTAAGTACTTAGGGAAAGGGCTCAGTCTTATCTTTCTCCTAAATTCTATGCAAGATGTAGTCAAAGGCTAATCATGCAGGAGATGCTTTGTTACTAATGTTGAAAGGAGTTTCCTATCACAGTCCTTGCATGCGGTTCATCCTAGTTAATCTAGCAGAACTACCACTCTTTCAATAAGATCTTACCTTGCTCAGCACTGACATAGAAGTACTTGTAGCTAGGGTTTCCATTCTCATTGATGATTTCAGGGCGCACCTTGCCACTGGGATCTATTGTAAACAAAAATAACACAGGGGTTATAGTAATTACCACAGAGAGGTATTTCCAACATGATATGGTAGAAGGCTTTCTAAGAAATAAGACCTACCCATTATTTCACCACCCTATTCCTTGAGTTTTATTTTTTATTATTTTTTAAAGATTTATTTATTTATTCATACAGAACTGGGATACAGGTCAGAGATGCGGAGGGTGAGAG